CATAATTGTTTTAGATTATTTAATGACAATTTAATTCAAAATATCCTCGATGTTTCGCAAAGTTATGTATGTATCGACGAGAGTCGAAGCGATTTTTTTCTTAGAAGATTTTAAGCTCTCGCAACGCTGATCTGTGCTGAGAAAGCACGTGGCATGACGTGTGAGTAGTGCGCTGTCTGAAGCACACAAGCTTTGATACGTATGAATTTTTTTCAAGTATGTAATCACCCGTGGGCGGTTGCGTCAACGTCGGTTAGTCGCTAATTGCGATTAATTAGGCTGGAAGAGAGGCCGTCGTGGGACAACGGATATGTCCAAGTTTGTGCGATAGCGTAGCTATTGTTGTACTTGGGACGATAAACTTACCAGGGCGACCCGCCGGTATCGATTAATTAATCAATCAACGGCACATCGGCCTCTCTCCGTCAGCCTAAAACTTTCCTCTTCCCCGATATATCGTCTTCGTGACCGAGGCTACGATCTAGACGGGGGACAGGTAATCGATAATCGGAATTAGCTAACCGGTGGAACGTTGGTGCAATCCAACCTCGGGCGTTCTCACCTAAGTTTAAATATGGCACAGTTCTCTTCTCAATAGTCTGTCGATATTGGTGCGCGAGCCGTGGTTTTTTTCTTTTTTTTTTCCTTCGAATAAACTCCTCTTGCAATCCTTCCTTTGCGTAAGCGCACCGCCAGCCGCAGTAACACCACGACGAGGAGCCGCGAATCCTCCCGCATCGGCACGCAGTCGCGCCGGCGAAGCACGGCGCGTCCACCAGCTTAGCCTTGGAACGGGACAACGGGGACTTTAGACGACTGACTCTTAGGGTGGCAGGGTGTAAAAGGGCCTTCGAGCGGGCGCACAAGAACCCGGATCAAACCCATCGAAACTTTGTTTCCACAGACGACTCGGAGATCGAGTATTTCCCGATCTCGCCGACTCTGACGAGGATCCGCGTGCATCGGAGAAGCGCCTCGTGCACGTCGACGATCACCTCGTCCACGAAGACAACGGCATTCGCAACGCGGCACGAATGGTCGATACTGTCCGCGACTGACTCGAGATCGCCGCCGCTGCCGCCGCCGCCGGTCATGAGAGCACCTCCTCACGGTCTCTCGTCGTCCGGTAGAGCCCTCCCGCAAGCTATGTCGGCGCCGAGGCCGCCCTCGCCGCCCCGAAGAAAGTCTTCGCGCCACAGCAGAACCTTGAAACTATACTCGGAGAGTACGCGATTGATCGATAGCTCGTACGCCGCGTATTTGAAACCCAGGCACGAACAGTGCTTCGCGCATACCGACGGCGCGTCGAGCATCAGGTCGCTGAGGGAGAGGTTCTGCAGCAACCTCGAGCGTCATCGGCGAAGTCGCGAGCAGTTTCACAGCGCGATCGTGCGCACGTCTTCCAGCAGCCCGGTCGCCTCGAAGACCGCTAAGGTGTCCGCTTTGTTCTCCAACACTTTCGGTAAGAGAAGGTCGGATCCCTGTCTGTCGCAGCCTCAGTTCGAGGCAAAAAAGTTGAACTTGCCGTCGAGCGAGGCGAGGAGTCACGTTTGTTCCTCGACGTCAAGGAGTACGCGTGAACCTTCGACAAAGGTTGATAAACTCACGACGGTGAAGGTGCCATCTAAACACGCAATTTCCGTTAAAGAAGGACAAAAATCTCCAGAGAAAGGTCAAAGTACGACGAGAGTAGAGAGTCCGTCGACTGCGAAGAGGGAGAAGCTTCGTCTCACGAAGAAAGAGCAAGAGCAATCCTGCAGGAGGTTGAGCAGATCACAGGAACTTTCTTCATCGGTAGAGGTCAGAAAAGCTCTGCAGAAGCGCAAAGAGAGAGAAACGAGAGACCTGCAGCCCAGACTTTTGCCAGCAAGTAAACAGAAACGTCCAGTAGACAAATCTGTCAAAGTTGCTGTGGTGGTTTCGCCTAAAGAATTATTGCGAAAAACTTCTGAACAGTCTCCGAGGCGGACATCGAGCGTTCAGTTAAAGTCTCCTGCGAAAAGCACGCCGTTACGGATTGTTAAAACGGAACCAAAGAAGACGAAAATTATCGTAAAGCCATCGGAGAAATTAATCGTTAGCAAAGAATCCTTGCGTTCGGTGTCTTCGTCCTGCTCTGAAGTGCCTAGCGACGTAAACAAGAGAAAGCGACCTCGCGAGAAACCGCAGACGATTGTCAAGACTCCGACGAAGAAACCGGAAACGATACGGGTAACTACGAACGGCGACAGGAAAAAGATGGACGCGAAGAGGAAAGCACGAAGAGGCAAGAGCGGCGATGAAGCTGACGCGAGCAAGGCATTGAATGGTTGGAGGGAGATGGCCGAGAAGGATGAAATCAAATTGTTGAGGAGAGTAGAGAAGGCAGTGCCAAGTGTTAGGCAGGATCTCTCCAAGACTGCGTCCTTGACCGTGGAGCAAATCAAGAGGCATCAAGAAGCGACGCGTACGGACACCTTCTTCCAGAATCTTTTTCTGCGAAACGATCCGTCGCTCGGGCAACTTCACGAGGAAGACACGAAGAAGTCTCTCGTCGGCGAGCGGGCGAGAATGTTCCAGAATGTCGCGAGAGATAGCTTCAAGTCGGAACCATCCCTGAAGTCCTTGAGCGTATACCTGGCGCACAAGCGACCGGTTTCGAATTCGAAGTTCAAGAACTGGGAGCGCGAAAGCGTTGTTTCGTCCAGGAGTTCAAGCCCATATGGAATCTGCTGGCCTGGCCGTTCTGTTTTTCAGAAGGTAGGCAAATTCGACAGCTTGCTGGGCATTGATGAGTTTGGCTCATCCACCACGTTGCACGATCGCAGTCTGGAATCTATACCGCGGGAACATGTGAAGGAGCGAAGTCTAAGCGAGCCGCCATTGAAGACTTTGCCGGAATCAAAAGAATCTTCTCCGAGATCCTCTTCACCGTCTCCGACGAGATCACAGACGTCTCGACGGACTCACGTCTCCAAGCAAGACTCGGATGCTCCACTAACAATTACAAAAAAGGTGAGAGCCAGAAGCGCCGGTGAAGCGGAGGACGTCAAGAGGGCGGATTCGAGTTTGTCCTTGACGAAGAGCACAGGATCCTTATCGTCCATGGATCGTGAGGATTATCAGCAATACATCCTCGAATTGTTGCATCACAGACGCAAATCCACACGGTACAAAGACCTGCGTGACTTTTACACGAATCTTAGTAGAATGGACCAGTTGGAGCGTACTTTCTCGTCTGGAGATTTACGACCGCGATTGAAAAACGAAGAGATTATCGATTATGATCGTTGGAAACAAATTAGATCGAAGGAGAAGGCGGAACAGGAACTGAAGGCGCTCTACGGGAAGCTGAAGAGTGTCCAACGTGATAAAGATTTCCTCTTCAGCGCGAAAGACGTTGATAAATTTAGATGGCACGGCGACTGCGGATTGCGCTGCAAGGAACGCTCCGTGGAGGATATTCTGCAATATTTTCGGAGACTCCAGAGCGAGGGAAGTGAATTAGAATCTTCTAAAAGAAGAGATGTCTCGCAGAAGGACACTTATAAACCTCTCTGGCGCGGCAATTCGGTGGTGAACGTGGCGACTACGATGCAGAAGAAGGCGAATGCTAATTTTCGGGATGTTGACAGATCCACCGATTACCATCCGTTCCTGCAGAAAAGCCTCGGCGGCAGTAAGAAATTCTGGAGTAGTCTGTCCATGGAGCAAGTGACTAACCTGAAGAAGCAGCTGAACGAGATCTACGGCAGTGACAGTTCTCAGAGACGAACGAACGGCGATATCGTCGATGCACCTTGCGAAATCGGCGAGTGTCAGCGGTCTGTTAAGAAAGACGAAACTTTGACGAGCTACGAAATCATCGTGCCGCCCGAGGGCGAGTTCAAGGATCACTCTCAAGACGATTCGAAGAGTCTCCATGTGCGATGCCATTCGATGATAACGACAAATGAGTCGAAGGAACAGGGCGACGTGACTCACGCCGAGGGCACCCTGAAGAAGAGCGACTCTATCGGTCGTTTGAAGAGCATCGAGAGATCCGAGAAATCCGACAAATCGGTCTCGCCGTCGATGTCGGAGCTGGAGAAGAAGAGACTGTCGTTGACTCTCGGCAAAGAAGTACTGGATAGAATGACGTGGAGAAGCCCATCCGCGCCTTTGGCACCTCGTGAGACGCGCGGTAGCATCGCTGCCGCTTTAGCGGCCATGAAGATGCCGGCGAAACCATCCGCGAAGAGCAGCACAAAGCCAATTTGCGCACCCGACACCCCCAGCGTGGCCAGCACCTCTCCCAGAACCTGCTACTCTCTTGAAGCGCCATACACCGAAGACACGACCAAATCCAAAGACAAGAGTGACTTCCTGCTGGTGTTGACGCCCAACAATGAGAGCCCTAGTGACAAGCAACGCGTAGAGACCGTACTCGAAGAGTGGTCCAAGAAACCGCCCTTGTTGGCCATGGCAGTGCCGCCTGATAAAGTAAAATCAAACAGTAAAGTCGCCTCGGGCAGCGACGCGGACAGCTTGACGGAAAGCTCGGAGACTTCGGTGAGGACGGTGATCCAGCGGGGAGGTGGTCCCGAGACGGAAGACATATCGCGAAAGATCGAGTTCTTCGAGAACGTGGAGAAGAGAGGGGAACAGCAGAGAGAGATCGTGCCGGCGACATCGACGACGACGACGACGACGACGACGACGACGACGACGACGACAACGACGACGACATGGACATTTCGTGGCAGGAAGAAACTGCCATCGTCGCAGAGCTTTGCTGATCTGAAGGAGCTCTTCGGCGAGACCGAGTCGGCCAAATACAGTTCGCTGGGTAACGCCGCCGGCCGGCTCGATCGATCGCGATCGACGTCGCCGCGAGAGCGGAAGATCGACGGCGGCCCGCTGCCGGAAGTGACGGGCGCGCGACAACAACGACGGCCGTTCCGCTCCTGTTCACGGGAGCGTGAACACGACGCTGCGAGGCCGCGCAGCGTCAGTCCGTGTCGCGCGACCACGCGATCGAACTCGTCCTGCAGCGTGGACAGCGGCGGCGTTGGCGGTGATTGGCCGCGCAGTTCGTCGCCGGATCCCGAGAGGTACTGGCGCGCCTACCTCAACCTGGTGCGGAACGGCACGGTGCACAGGCTGCGCGCGAGATTCGAGAGCGCCGAGGACCTGCCGTGTCGCGTCAGGATCGCGGCCGCGCCGAAGCGCTTTCGCAGCGACCCGGAACTGGCGCGGAGCCTGTTGAAGAGGGCGAGCGAGGAGGATGACCACCGCGGCGGTCCTGCCCTGAAGCCGCACGAGCACGTCGACGTCGCGTGGTTGCGTAGGAGATTCGAGACGACGAAGAGAGGCCGGCCGCGAATAGGACGCAGGGGCAACTCGCCGCCGATCCCGCGGGTGCCGCTGCGGTGGGAGAACCTCTCGATGCCGCACATCGACGTCATCAGCAAGACGGCCGGACTGAAGGAACCCCAGGCTGCCAGCACCATCACCAATCACGTGGCTAGGCGAGCGGAGACCAAGGAACTCGAGGAGAAGAAACCAGTTTGCCGAATGAGGAAGAGATTCGAGTCCCCGGAGGGGGTTGGTAGCGGCCGAACCTCCCTAATGGGCGAGATGTTCACGTCGGCGCCGGATGTACGCGAGCTTCGCGACATCGCGCCTTATCTGGCTGGAAAATGGGTGGCGCACCGATATCCCAATCGTCGCGATAACATGCGCTCGTTGTCATCGCCAGCCGATCTCAGGATCCACCGGGGCGCCTCAAAGACGCGTGCCTCCTTGTCGACCGACAAGAAGAAATCGGACCGACCGGAACGACCGCGCGCCGCCTCCTCGTCGCCGACTCGGCCGCGAACGACTCCCGCGTCGATTCTCAAACCGTCGCAGCAGACCATCTTCGCCGGGCAACCCTTCGACCCCGACAAGCATAGACCGAGGTTTAGGTATCAACCACCGCCTCCACCGCCTTCGCCCACCGCCGTGCGAAAGCATAGAACTTGGTGGCCGACCTTGCCGGTCTACATGGCGCGACCGACCGTCACCTTCGAAGGTCTGAACTCTCGCCAGCTGTTTGGGGCATCTAAGCTGCATCGAGTTCCGTTTCCGTCGAGTCTAGATTCTAGAAAGACAGAAGGGAAAACCTAAAAAAAAAATTTCTCTCTTTCTGTCCGTTTTTAAAGATGAATTTAATTTTCTCCGATTAAACAAATTAGAATTTAAGATCGTTAACTCGAGCAGTCGAATCGAAGAATCGTTATTACTTCACGTGGCACCAATATCGTTAGATTTTAGAGAAGAACGCGCATCAAGTTCGACAGGCAGTTGCTCGGCAGTTGTGTGTGCAATCCCTCGTTGAATCCCGCGAGTTGATTTTCTTCCTAGCTGTAGAGCAGCTAATTGTTATTTTAATTTTTTTTTTTTCGTCTCGTCCATAGAATACTCGAATGCACCCCCGCCGCCGCCAAAATCCCAGCACTGCAGGGACGATCGCCAAGGTAATGCCGAGCTCATCATTACAAAGCTCATCATTATTATATTTATTTTTTGTCTTCTGTACGCATCTGTTCCGTATGCATTTATGCGCGTGTCGCAGTCTGGCCGTCCTACCGGATGTTTCATAACATCTGGCACTGGCCTGCGTGAAATACTAAACGTATTAACCAACCAAACGATTCTTTTTTTTATCTAGAGATAATTTTGATAGTGTCGCTGCTAACACAGGTAATTAAATAACAAAAACCGCTTCTGTCCCAAATTTTAATAAACTTCCTCAAACTACCTCACAAGGCTAAGAAAAAAAGTACATAAATATCTTCGAGGTATGCATATATCACGATGTGTGTCGTCGAGTTTAGGGTCGATCGATTTGAAGTTATTAGAGTTCGCGCACGTAGCCGAGACGGACACTTGCCAAGCGCGTGTCGCGATGACGCATCGTGCTGCGTGCGACTCGGGATGCACGAACGACGCGTGTCGTCGGGAAAGAGATTGCGCAACGAACAGTTTGCACGAGCGATCGAGCATGAGCGCAATAATCGCGCTCGGATCGGTCGGTAGGCACGTTAATGCTCATCTGGCTGGCTATATCACGTGGGTTTGTTATTTGCACGCTCGCATTAAAGCCGGCTCCAAATCAAGCGAACGAGCGCGAACGAACGAACGCGAGCTGAAAACAGCGACCATTTGCGCTCGCTTCCACGAGTGCAAATGGTCGGTGAGCGTTACGATCGCGTTGAAGTAAACTGTTCTTCTTTAATGCCCAGTGCATTTCCGATTTTTACGGCTCAAAGCGCGCTACCGCGCTTTCCATGGCCAAATGCCCCAGGAAACCACCCTCCTGAGGGCTGAAAGTGGTTTTCAAACCGTTCACTTCGTATTTGTTCGCGCTCGTTTGCTCGGTCTGGGTTTCCACCGGAGTCGTAAATCGCGCTCGAGCCACCGACGCGAGACGTGCCGAAAATAATATGCGCTTTCGCATATGGAGAAATCACCGCGGCGTCGAGTCGCTCGCCGTGCAGTCTCGATTAGAAATTTCATGTTAATACGCATCGTGCTCGCTTGGGCTTTTCTATAGATATTACGAGACCGAGAACAGCATGTGAAACGTCAATGTGAATGTGTCGTTGCATGACGTTAGAAAAACCATATTATTTCATTATTTTTTTAGAAAAATCGAGTGCAAGAGATTAGAAATTAAGTGCTTGAATTAAGACATTTTTATAGTTTTCTTACGTTTGAAATGTTTGAAAAACATTTTAATTACGAAAACTTATTTATAGCTGAAAAGTAAAATTGACAAACTAATTAATTAAGAAGGTAATAATTTGACAGACCTATTTGTAAATACGTTGCTATTTAAAAATGTGTGTATTCTGCATTACGTAACAGACGGAGAACGACGAGAGTAATCGGGAAATGACAGAACCGCGATAAAAATAAGTGATGGCAATGTTCGGCGTCGGCAAAGGGAAAACTGCATGACGTTTAGTGGGCTGTTACGTGACCGATTGATTATGTTCGGCCTGCCGAACATCAAATCGTGTAATCGAGGCGTTATCGCCGGCTCGTAAATTCCTACTTGAAAATCACTTCCGTCGGAATAATCGCGCGTAATCAAGATGACGGGAGGAAAATAGCGACGATCCTAAATCACTCTTCTTCAATTTTACGATGTCAAGGGCATTCGGCGACTCCGCTAAACAGTGGTCGCGCGCTGCTAATTGCCTAACAGGAAAGGTAACAGTGAACTGGCCGGCGTTCAATTTACACGTGAACGTCTGGAAGGGCGATTCGAGAGCGATGCGTGAGAGATTATTTATAGTAAGGAAAGCGTTCTCTTCTTATCACGAACGATTTAATTTTCTCACTCGAGATTTCGCGGCGATCGGGAAAGCAATTTGGAAAGTCGTTCGTCGTGATCGTTACGAAACGCAATTTGCAAGCTCAAGACCGATCCGGAAGGAAGGCGCGAGGGCCTCTAGCTCGATGCTAGTGATTTCGATCGTATCGCTTAACGTTAGATCATCAGCCGCGGAATTACGTGCCGCTAAAATTGGTACGAGTGGCGGTCACGATTATTTTCGACGATGATCGCAGCGCCGATTACGGCGCCGTCGCGATGTCCACGTACTTCGGTTAATATCGCGATAAATTCAACGCGACCGATTGTCATTGTTGCATTACGTAACGCGATTAGCATATCTAATCACGAGCTCGCGCGAAGTACGAGCAGCTCGCGAACGTCTTCGCCGGATTTGGAATATCCTCGCGTTATTCCAAATATTTGCGACTGTGGACACTCGTTCGTCCACCTTATCTAATCTCTCGATGATTAATGTGCGTGTACGTTCCTCCACTTTCCGACAGTTTCGTCGGCGTCGATAACAGGTGACGGGATCCGTAATCGAGTTCTCCAAAACCGGCGAGTGAGAAGTAACACGAGCGATACAGGAGAGCGAGAAGTGGGACTTAATATCGTGAATAATAATCGAACGCTCTCTGAAAAGTGATTAGCGTGCAAAACAACACTGTTATTATTATTATAGTCCGGCGATGCGTCCGTATCTCACGCGAGAAGCGACGTACAACAACGCGGCTTTTGTCAGCAGCCTTGAACGCCTTTTAGCACGACGTTCATAAATTTTTATCTTCGCGGATAACGACTCAAAGAAGTGAGAAGCTTATTTACCGGACTTTCCTATAAGCGTTACGTGTTTGTGTGCGCGTTTTTTGATCGATAGGAGACCGATTGGAGATCTCCGATCGATTTCCACGAATCGCCCGGTGTAGGAGTTAATCGTCGGCTGGGAACGTCCCAAAATATATCGGGGAGCCTTGGTTTCGGTTTAAAATCGTTGAAAACTTGTTGAGCGCCAGCGCGCTCCATCCGAAGACGTTCCCCGCGGTTCCTGCTTGGTGAACCGTTCTTCAGCGGAGTAGGGGAGCCGCGATAACCGGTGCCAACGTCGCGGCGCCTTCGTCAGACGCGTTTCGCGTGCGTCGCACGACGCAGGTATCAATAACAGGTGTCGTCGAAGGTGCAGTCGTCGAAAATGTAAGACGATCCGAGCGGGCCTAATCGGACGCGAGGTCGCTCTTTCCAGGCGCGCGTTTCGTTCTTTTAAATTAATCTCGCGGAGTTATCGGCGTGGTATACTGATAATCGCGACGGTCAGCTTAATCGGCGAAAGTGAGTCCGGGAATTACGGGAATTTGTGTGCTAACGTCGCGGGGATTAACGTCGAGCTGCATTCCGTGCGATATGCAAGTATATTACGCAAGGTTATCGCGTGTCTGATATCACCGTGGACTTCGACGTGAATTTATTTTGTCACGGACCTTGGACGTTTGCACGTTTACCAGCCTGTTGAGAAAAAATTTGCACTGATAAAAGAGCGAGATTACTCAAGTTTCAAGTTTTCAAGTTTTTTTCAATTCAAGTTTGAAGTTCTCATTTGGCGCTGTGTTATAAGTTTGAAAAGATGGAACGGCGAGATAAAAATATAAACGCGACGCTTTGTCAGTGAAATCGTTCCTCTTGAGAGAAAAGTGCGACACGAGTGTTGTCTTCCTCCGTTGATCCACATTGCCGGCGGCTCATTTGAATAGAATAGTCATGAGAGTGCAAGTAGCACCTTTCTCAGGGAAAGATTTCGCCCGTACAACAAACAAACGCACTTCATTAAGACACACTTAAACTTCTTCGGGGGAGTCGGCCCGCTCTAATAAGTAGAAGCTTCCCGTGACGGCCTGCGCTCAGCGTCCTCGCTCTTCTCAACACAAGTTTTTCTCAAATCGTCGGATTCTTCGCGACGACACTTTTCCGCGTACGACGTTTCGCGCCGAAGTTCCGTCGAAACCCACGTTCATTCTCGTTAATTACGAATTAGTACGTGAGGCCGATGATTAATGAGTCAACGTCATGTCCGGAAATAAGCCTATGTTTCGCGGGACGCGATGAGTAATGGTAGACTTTCATTGACAGTCCGCTCTGACTTGTCTGTGAGCGAGAAAGGGAGAGAAAACCGAAACGGCGGCGTGTCAGAGTTATCGGAATCCGGGATTGCGTGCGGTGCTTCGCGGATACGAAAACAGGCATTGGCACACCGAGAACGTGACACGGAACGACGCGATCGTTTCAACCTTGATAGCCGCCGACGTTTGCAGCTCGCGTTGCACATCCGTCCCGTCCGAGTCACCGTTACAGCTCTTAATGTCCTCCAAACCGACGTAGAAGAGGTCGCCGGCGACCTCTGAATAAACGATCGCGAGTCATCGTCCGGCGACAATAACTAATCGGATTTCTCCACTCGGTTGCCCAACGCAAGAGGAGTCATCGCGCTTTCCATTTCCTTCCGTTCGTTATCGCGCGATTAATTCCGCGCGAATCATAATTGCGGATCAGATTTTGAGCAACATCCGCCGCGGCCGAGAGATCGTCCTCGATCCTATCTCGATCAGGGAGGCGGGAGGGGGAGTTAATAACGCGGCTCGATTCGGTTCTGATTTCCGCTCGATAAGCGCAAGGTTGATCGAGAGAGAGAGAGAGGAGGGAGACATCCGGGGAAGAGTTTACAGTCTGGTAAACGCGTTGTCACGTCGTCAGGGAGTGATTTAATTTCTCCTCAGAGTACCCGCGACTAATCGGATATCTGATATTCGCGCGTCGTTCTCGCGATGAGAAGAAACATGGTGGTGAACGAGGTGGGAACTGGGGCGACATTGCCGCGGGTCGCGGACCTGGAGCACAGTGTACAGTGGACCAGTTTGGCGAACGACATCGACGACCTGGTGAAGCTCCGCCGTCCGGACAGATCGGCGGTAGTTCGACGCGACAAACGAGACGGAAGGACCGACAGACACGCTTACCAGCGGGTCTCCATGCCGGAGATGCAGCGGACGTGCACGGTGCATTTCGAGGATGATTGCGACACGCTCTTGCGGAGAGACCGTCTCTCCCCGGAGAACTCCCGGTGGAGCTGGAAGCCGCGGACGGACTTCGAGAGGGAGTACTTTTACAAGGATTACAAGGACTATTACCGCGGCGATCCGGGAAAGTGCCTCGAGTCCGTCTCGCACGAGACAGCCCCGAGGGATCGGGGTTGCTCGCGGGAGACGCGACATCCTTCTTCCAGGAGTCCTGCCGCGCGCGGATCGTCAGCGGCGCGATATCCCGAGGGACTCGAGAAGGAGCACTTCAGCGACAGCAGGGAGCGGCTGCACGAGATCTTCGAGCACAACCGGTATCTCCGCCGACAGTTCTTCGCCGACATGCCGGGGAAGCAGGACTCCTGCAGCGGTTTCGCCGGGAACGCTTCCGAGAGGCGCGGCCAGGGAGCGCCGAGGCGCTGCGCCGGCTTCGGTAGCACCGAGACCCTCACCAGCCAGAGCAATCAATCATCCGTGAGCAGTATAAACGATCGGAAGTCCCGGGCGCAGACGACACGCAGCCCGGAGGAGGAGGAGGAGGAGGAGGAGGAGATGGACACGTTAACCGAGTTCGCCGGGAGGGACTTGTCTCGAATCGTCAATCGCAAGAGCGGCGGTCGCGCTCGAAGGGACGGCAGAGTGCTCGTCAACATTCTACCCGGAAGCGAGATAAGACGAGTCGATGTGAGGAACGTATCGTCGTCGGTCAAGCTCGATGAGGCGAGTAATGAACGCAGCGAGGGCTCGCCGATCGTCGAGGAGGCTCGATTTCGGGACGCGGCGTGCGCCAAGAGAACGCACGATAAATCATGTCAGTGCCGCATCGAGGAGGACGAGATCGATCTCGACGCGTCGCGCCGAGGGAAGAACCTTCCGGAATACATTTTTGGCGGAGCCGCGAAGATCGATTTCGAGAGTCGAGAGGAAGGCGGGGATTCGTCGGGCGGAAGCGGACATCGTGACGCGAGCAACGTGAACGATCGGCTGTCGTGGGATGATAAGCCCGAACGGGAATGGAATCGACTTTCGCAAAACGAGACCCGAATGATCTGCGATTATCGCGGACGATCGGATTCCGTTTCGGCGAAGATCAATGAGATAAGCGCGTCGAGGAGCAACGACGGCGTCTGCTGGGATCTCTGTAGATCCTTGCCGAATCTGACTATCCTGAAGCGGAACCTCGATGCTCCTCTCTACGTAGCCCGGGCGGTCAACGTTCCCGAAGGACTCGAGTCTCTCGAATCCCCGGATGCTCGTGTCGTAAGATCGAGAAATCGCTTCGAGCAACGATCGGGACAGCGCGAGGAGATCGAAGATCAGACACGCTCGATCGAGCGCGGACAATCGATATCCAAATTGACGACGGATGTGTCGGTCCCGCCCAAACATCTGACCCCCCCGAGACGGGGGGTCAAGGCGACGAGAATCCCTCCTCCTCCCTTAGACCTGAGCACGGTGAACGAGCGGTGCGAGCGCATGGAGGCGGACGAGAGGAGATATCTGAACGATTACAGCGTCGACGTGGCGATCCTACGCAACCACGAAGATCACGTGGAAGATTTGCTGAGTCCTGTTGAGAGCAGACGAGCCGTTAACGACGTTGTCAAAGATGACATCCTGTCGAGGATCGCGAATGGAAGGAACGATCAGCCGCTCGGAAGAGACGCCGATAAGAGACGGAGATCGTCGGGAGTCCCGGGGTATAAATCTTGCGGCAATTTCTCGTTGGCCGAGGACTTGCAGTCGCCGCAGCTCGTCAACAATTGCAAGAGCTCTACGAGCGATCTACGAAAAATAGATCCCGCATCGATACTTCCGATTGACCCTGATGCCTGTCGCCGTGACCGAGCCACCAGCAGCCCTTTGTTCGATCAAACGAGTCCGATTGGCGGACTTCACGCCGCCGGAAGCGCGCTTCCGTCTACGGTCTACGGACCGATTCCGTACAGTCAGTAAACATGCGCATAATTTTCCTGAAATAATGCTCTTCCTGCCGCGCGTAAATAGCCGCACGCCCCGTTAGGATCGCCTCGGTGTACGTAATCGTTGCCGGTGTCGTTGACGGTGATTGAGGAGGAGAGAGAGATAAAAACAGATTGAATCGAGCAGAGTATGTTTCGTGCTCTGAACTCCTTTTTTTTTTTAACATGCCTCTAGTTTAGAAAGTCTGATACGATCGTATTACGTAGAATCGAATCGATGAAAAAGTATTCTGGATATATTTGTATTATTACGTATTAAATGAATTCGTATGAAAAATTGTAGTGAGATAGGAGAGTTTGAGGTCTGCATTGAATTTAAAAAATAATTAACATCGACACAGATAATAAATTGCCATAATGACGAAAACCTAACTTCCCATGACCCACGAAAGGCTCTAGAAGCGCGTTGAGAGTAGAACGGTAAAATGGAATAAAATTACACGAGGGGAGAATCAGATAAAGGATAATAAGGTACAGTACACAAGAAAAAAATAATCTCGAGTCAGGATAGGTGAGGAAGACAGAGAGAGAGAGAGAGAGAGAGAGAAAGAAAGAAAGAAGGAGAGTAGAAAAAGAAT